GGGCGCGGGGGCTCATGCCTGTAACCCGCACTTTGGGGAGGGACCGCGGAGCGCGCGCCGGGGGTGTAGTGGAGCCAGCGGGGGGATGACTAGGCGGAGGGTGGGGAGTGGGGGGGGTCAGGGATGGAGGCGCAGACCAAGCGCTGGCGGACGACGCGGGAGTCGGGGTGTGAAGCTGTACTCAAAAATGCAGGCAGAAAAGAAAGTATACTGGGCGGCCTGTAGTTCCAGCTACTCGGGAGGCTGAGGCAGGAGAATGGCATGAACCCGGGAGGCGGAGCTTGCAGTGAGTCGAGATCGCGCCACTGCACTCCAGCCTGGGTGACAGAGCAAGACTCCATCTCAAAAATAAAAGAAAATGGAAGTCCGTATTCCATTTGTCTAAATAGTTTAATTTATAAATCAAGTAAATAAATGTTACATAAAATATGTTCCTTTCCAGGTTTAAAATTGGACTTCTTGGACTACTTCGAGTTCTGCACTGGGACAGGGTGGTTCAGGAAAAGCCAGCCGCTGGTCCCTGGCCTCAGCACCCTGACTGCTTTCTTCTTTACCCGCTCCATTTATCCCCCACCCCACTTCTAGCAAACAGGCATGCAGTCATATTTTGGTCACTCCTTTGGCCATGAGGTATATGCCAGCTTGGCAGCACTGCTAACCCGTGGGAGGATGGAGTTGAGGAATAGACCCCAAGAAGGGCCTAGGATTGGGTTCAAAGCCATTTGGTCAGGGAATTCTGTGGTTCAAGATCATGGTCAGTGGAGGGAGACAGGGGAGCATGGGCTCCAGATGAACATACCCGCTTGCTCCACAGAAAGGGCCACAGCCAGTGGAAGGCCAGAACTGGCCCTCTAAAGTGTGGGGCCTTCTAAAGTTCCTGGGCCTAAGGGTTATGCTGGTCATAGCAACCCTTTGAGATTGAAGTGATTCCATTTTACATATAGAGTACTCATGGGAAAAGGCACTGCTACCCCTGTAAACCTTTAACAAATATGTGTCTTACTTATTCAGGGATAAAGAAAGCCCCCTTTGATCCCCTTATCTTTTTCATTATTTGCAGAGCCAGCTTACTTGGAAATAAGAAGGACTGTTTTTTTTTTTTTTTTTTTTGGAGTCTTGCTCTTGTCCCCCAGGCTGGAGTGCAGTGGTGCGATCTTGGCTCACTACCACCTCTGCCTCCCGGGTTCATGTGATTCTCCTGCCTCAGCCTCTCAAGTAGCCAGGATTATAGGTGCCCACCACCACGCCTGGCTAATTTTTGTACTTTTAGTAGAGATGGGGTTTCACCATGGTTGGCCAGGCTGGTCTTGAACTCCTGATCTCAGGTGATTTGCCTGTCTCAGCCTCCCAAAATGCTGGGATGACAGGCGTGAGCCACTATGCCCAGCCAAGAAAGACTTTTAAAAAAATATTGTGCTGCGGGGCTGGATTAATCTTGTGTCTTACACTGGTTGAACTAACAACAGAGACCTACTGAAACACATTCAAGGGCGTGGGAACGGAAATAAGCAATGTGAAATTTTACTGTAGCCTGTGATGTCTTGAGAAGGGACTAAAGAGGCAGGAAACATTTGAGAGGGGAACTGATCAGTTTTCAGTATGTTAAGGGGATGTTACTCTGAGAGGATAGTGAGAGAGGGGTGGTGGAAACCATTCACTCCAAAGGTATTCATTGGCTCAATATACTAAACTCAGGGTAGAGTTTGTATCTGATATGGAAGATAAGCCCACAGCAGAAAGGAATTACAGTTCCTGAGATGTTAGTTTCTAGGCAGACACTCCAGTCTACAAAGAAGTGACATTAGTTGTTTTGAATTTGGAATATATTCTCAGAGGAATAGTACTATATAAATTGTGGTTACATTCCTAGCATAGCTCATATATGTAACTCATAACCTATTTATTAAACATTTACTGAATACCTATTGCATACAAAACCATGTATAAGGTTTTGAGAGTTCTGTGCTAGGCACCAAAACTCCATAAATTATCACTAAAATAACATGGTTGTAATATATTAAATGAAACAGAAAAAGCAAATATAGTTTTTTTGTTTGTTTTATTTTAGTCTTGAATGATGGGACTTAACCAGGTTAAATAGGGGAGGTTAAAAGGTTTACTGTGGAGACCACATTGCCATTTGCAGAGGCCTTAGCATTTGGGAATACTGGTTCTTTATTAGATATTTTAATTAATTCTATTGTATTAGCACCATTTTTACACTAACAGGTTATGATAAGGCACTTTGTTCATTTACATCTGGAATGAAAAGAGAGAGAGAGAGAGACGGAGAGAGGGAGCAAATAAGAGACTGGCAAAGAGAATTATTTTTGGCATCTAGTCAGGGCTTAGGAAAGACAGAGGGCTGAAGGGAGAAGAGGACACCTGGTTGGATAACAGTGCTGCCTGAGATGGAATGGCGGGAACACTGGCGGTGTGAGACGGTAGATGAGGAGACAGACCGTTTGTTTCCCATTCTGGGCCCCTTGTATGTCAATGGGCCTGAACAGGTGGGAGGGGGCACAGGGTGCTGGTGGCCACGGAGAGGTGCACTGTGGGTGTCCAGTTATTTGATAAGATGACTCCTTTCTAAAGGAGGTCCCCGCATGATCACCAAATTCATTCTGGCCACTTAAGGATGAGTGTGGAGTATGGGTGGTATGTTGGAGAGAGAACTGTCCCTGGAATGAGGAAAGTATCTCTAGGATGGGGATGGGCAGTTTAGATTGGAAAGATGGCAGGTGGATCAAGAAGAAAAACTGCTCCCCTTTGAAGGGGTGATATTGGTGAGCTGTCTCTCAAAGGGAAGCCAAGGGTCTGTCCAAATATTTAGGTTTGCAGAAAACTGGGTTGTAATGAACATTGTGTTATTCTCAGCGGGGCTTTGAAAATGGTTTTCTTAAAAACATTTCAAAAAGTCCAAGGTAAGGAGGCTTATGGCACTTGACCTTTGTGATTATATCTCATCTTATCAAAAAAATTATTACAAGGTAGATTTCATCCTAGAGACTATTCTCATATCCTAAAAGCTAAGGCTAGACATTTAAGCTCTTGAGAAATTGGACAAAAGTCTTCAGCCACTTGAGTAAGCAATGACACAAACAGTCCAGAAGAGTCAAGTATTAAAACCTATGTATGGGCCGCGCACAGTGGCTCACACCTGTAATCCCAGGACTTTGGGAGGCCGTGGAGGGAGGATCACTTGAGGTCAGGAGTTTGAGACCAACCTGGACAACACGGTGAACCCCTATCTCTACTAAAAATAGAAAAATTAGCTGGGCGTAGTGGGGCACACCTGTGGGCTCAGCAACTCCGGAGACTGAGGCAGGAGAATCGCTTGAACCCAGAAGGTGGAGGCTGCAGTGAGCTGAGATCATGCCACTGCACTTCAGCGTGGGTGACAGAGCGAGACTCCATCTCAAAACAAAAATAAAACCTATTTATGTTTGCCAATTGGAAAAGGAAAAGGAATGTTGACTGGTTCGGTAATGGACGGAAATGGTCAGTGAGAAGAGATCTCAGCAGGAAGAGAAGGGTAGCAGAAGAGGCCCTGAATAGAGTGATAAGTGCAATGACCACTAATGACTCTGGAAAACTGGGCCAGTCCAAAGAGGCAAAGCTAGGGCAGCTCTGGGGTCTGGGCGGGAAAGGGGCGCCTGATCTCAGTAGCTGCTGAAGGCAGAGCTGCTGCATCCACATGCAACGTGAAAGGAGGAGGGAAAAATGACATTTAACACACTCTGTTAACATGAAGCCCCGGGAATTAATTTTTAAAAGGTTAACGTTCTTATGTGGAATATTCTCCTTTCCAAGGTTACCCATTTCTTTATGTTGCTAGGTCAACAAAATACTATAACCATTGAAATAATAATAATTAATAATAATAACAGCAGCTAATATTTATTATGAGCTTACGATGTACAAATATTGTGCTGGGTGCTTTTCTGTGTATTTCATTCTCAGGACGGCACTATCAGGTAGATTTTATTATTATTCCTGCTTTATCTATGAGGAAACCAGGTATTGAAGGATGAAGTATGTTACCCAGGTCACAGAACTCGTAAGTGTTGGAGCAGTATGTTATACAGATTTTCTTATTGGCTTGGATAGAAAATACTAACATATGGTTCCTGGAGTTTTCTGTTTTGCAGCTGGGTGACACATTTTTGGACCTGTGTATCAGGTCGGTAGTGTCCCTTCTCCTTTCCTGGGTACAGTAGAAGGAGAGGGAAGACTATTATCCCAGAAATGCAAGTTACAAGTCCTTGAAAAACAAGGCATTCTTGCTATGAGTTCCATTCTCAGAGAAGGATTTAATTGGTGTGGGATGCAGCCTGCACCCCTGGCGATTCTAATGTGCAGCCAAGGTTGAGGACCACTGCTCTGGCAATAGGAAAGGTAAATACTATAAAAAAAATCCTCCTGAGACTGGTGTGGTGGTGCACAGCTGCAGTCCTAGATACTTAGGAGGCTGAAGCAGGAGAATGCATGAGGCCAGAAGTTTGAGAATATGGTGTGCCATGATCGCACCTGTGAACAGCCACTGCGCTCCAGCCTGGTGTTAAATAATTAATAGACCTGAGAAAGGCAGCATGAGACAGAATCTGTCTCTCTCTCTCTCTTTTTTTTTTTTTGAGACAGTGTCTTACTCTCACCCAGGCTGGAGCGCAGTGGTGCCATCTCGGTTCATGGCAGCCTCTGCCTCCCGAGTTCATGTGATTCTCCTGCCTCGGCCTCCTGAGTAGCTGAGATTACAGGCATGCCCCACCATGCCCAGCTAATTTTTGTATTTTTAGTAGAGACGGGGTTTCGCCATGTTGGTCAGGCTAGTCTCGAACCCCTGACCTCAAGTGATCCACCCGCCTTGGCCTCCCAAAGTGCCTCCCAAAGGGATTACAGACATGAGCCACTGCGTCTGGCTATCTCTTTTTCTTTTGTTTCTCATTTTTATTTATATATTTTAGAATTTAAAGCATTTAATTAAACAAAAACCAACTCATAAACTGGGCAGTTGCCAAACCAAAATAGGTTCAGAGACTCTGCCACTGCCAGGTGGTGGAAGAAGGTTTATGGACAGAAAAAGGAAAGTGACCTATAGAAAACGGAAGTGAGACACAGAAACAGCTAAAACTAGGTGATCGGCACAATAGTAGGTTACAGTCTGTTTATGCATCCAGTTAGGTTACAGTTCATTCTGTATGGAAAAATCTTTAGGCCAAACTTAAAAGACATGAGGAGGCAGCTGTAGGCTATACTCAACAATTCCTCCTTTCTGGTTACGGGGCAACATAACGAGACCTCGTCTCTTAAAAAAAAAAATCCTTTAATGGGAATACAGCATTGTAGATACAGAACGCTGTAGATTACCTCCCCCAATTAAATGATGAAAGGCAGGAAAAATAGGAAGGAGAAGTATAGAGTATTATCCTAGAGATTAGAGAAAAAAAAGGTGAGTCATGAGTTACTCCCATGAAGCTCAGTATCTATTTTATTTTTACTTCTTTGTCCAGGGAAATGCAAAACTTGGTTAGAGCTAGGGATGAGCCAGAAGAAAATCTGAAAGGTCGAAAATTAAGAGCAGTTAATAAAGATTAAGAAAGTGGGATTAATCATCAGAAATAAGAAATAAATAATCAGCCAAAAATATTTATGTATAATGCACTGTGGGGATATACACATAATATATTCTGTTCTGAAATAACTCGTAATTTGGTTGGTGAGATATGAAATACATGTGAAAAGTTACTGGTTACAGTATGTGTGGTAGAAGTCAGAAAAGGAGCTATCATTTCTGCTGGAGTAATAATAATGCCTTACAAATTATAGTATTTTCTAGGTTTTGAATCTTTCATATGATCTGCATATCTTGTGAAATTTACAGGACAGATTTTAGTGAAATTACCCAGATATGTTTTATGAATTAAAGCTCAGAAAAGGGAAATAATCTGCCTCATATAACTTATACAGCAAATGGCAACAGAGGAGTGACCAGCAAGCACACAGGCCTCTTGACCTGGTTCTCTTTGCTACACAACAGAAATGAGGAGGGTTGAGCTGGGCCTTGAATTAACAAGTACTGGGCAGAGAGGCCCTGGAGGAGGGCTTCCAGGAAGCGAAATGGCATGAACCTGTTTGGGAACTAGAGGGTGGGGCCAGGCTGCAGGCTGGAGGTAAGGGCAGATCCTGAGGGGTCTCTGCACCTCAGTTAAAGTATCGGGATTTACACTCAGGCAGAGGATAGCTATTCAGGATGGCTGCTAAAGGAATGTGACATGAGGAAAACAGGATTTTAATGACTAGGAAGAAACTTAGCTACAGATCTGGAGCCTTTGGCTATAAGAATACGTAATGATAGGATGAGTTCTAGAATAACTTCTCATATTTCTGGGTTGCTTAGATATAGATTTTGCTTAAAAACTGAAAGAGATCCAGTAAAGCAGACGCTTCGTTAGGAATTCTTTTTGACGTTTAACTTTAAAAAACAAACAGGAAATGACTTACTTTATAGATGACTCTGTGACATGGCAGTGACCACATGCTGGGCCTGTCATAATGATTTGCCAAGTAAAATTCAAATGTTTCCAACCTCTCACTTGCCTATCTCATGGATTGCTGGATGCCACGAGATAATATATGGAGAACACTTGGCACTGCTTCTCACCAACCATGTTAGCCATTATTATTTTCAAATGTCTAGATATTTTCCCTCTTGACTTATAATTTTCTCTTTTTATCCATGTGGAGTTATGGGGCAGAGGTTAAAGTCAGAGACTAGAACTTCACAAACCTGATTTCTGTGATCATGACATAGTCACAAATTCTTAGTCACCAGTTTCCTTATCTATAAAATGAAAATGATGATGCTAACCTTAGGAGGTTATTGAAAGGGTTAAATGATGTATTTAGAGTGGTTAGGTGTGTAGCAATTTCTCAATAAATGGTGGCTATTGTTTTATTTCATTTTAGACTTGACACCAATATGATAATATGGCTGGAACAATAATAGCTTGTAAATCTTTCTGGAAATCTTCCATTTACTCTATGCATATTTGGAGTGACTGGATGTATTATTAGTTGTAAGAACAGGGTTGGAAGAACACAGTGTGAGAAATGCAGCCCTCCCCCACCATCTTCCTGGGGGCAATCTTTTTTTTTTTTTGGTAACTGTGGAATGTTCCATAACTACCAACAGTACATGAAATCAGCTAAGAAAACTGAAAAATGTAAATCACAGTCAAAATCTCAAATTTTACATTCAGATGGAAAATGAAAACAATCTTTTAGATTTTTTTTTTTTGAGACAGAGTCTCACTCTGTTGCTCAGGCTGGAGTGCAGTGGCATGATCTTGGCTCACTGCAACCTTCACCTCCCAGGTTCAAGTGATTCTCGTGCCTCAGCCTCCCAAGTAGCTGGGACTACAGAAATGCACCACCATAATCGGCTAATTTTTGTATTTTCTAGTAGAGACAGGGTTTCACCATGTTGGTCAGGCTGGTCTCAAACTCCTGACCTCAAGCAACCTGTGCACCTTGGCTTCAAAAAGTGTTGGGATTACAGGCATGTGCCACCATGCCCAGCCTAGATTTTTATAAATATATTGACTAAAAATATTTGTTACTTTCTTTTAAACACACATTTAAAAAGATACTTACATCATAATATACACCCTGACCTGGCCAAGTCAGTGCTTTCTTCTTTGAATCCATGGGAATATCAATCAGTTCATATCTATAAGGATTACCTGAAAATTTCAGGAAAAGCAATAAATAAGAACAGTCTTTTAAGGGATTAATAGGTCCAATAAATAGAAATGAAATAATATAAGGTAGAGATGGATGTTGGTGTATATTTTACCTACGTAGTTACAGCTTTAGAGAGATTCAGCTTGCTCCTGAATTCTCTTTTATTTATTTATTTATTTTTAAGATAGCATCTTGCTATGTTTCCTAAGCTGGACTTGAACCCCTGGGCTCAAATGATCTTCCTACCTCAGCATCCTGAGTAACTAAGACTACAGGGGCAGGGCAGGCCAGGCCACCACACTGGGCTTGTTGCTCTTGAATTCTTGAGCACGTACAGGAGCAGCACGTGGGCCACACAGCGTAAGAATAAGTCTTTAACCCTAGTGCTCTCAGTAGTAATAGGAGTCACTAGTACTTCACCTTTCTTCTTAATGAGAGAGATCTTAGGTAAATAATAAGTGTTCCTGGATCCTCTTTCTGATCTTTTTTTCTGGTCTCTGGGGGCTCAACAAATACATTTCTATATTACCTGTTTTGGCTTTTCTCTGCCTAAATATCAAGTTTTCTGAAACTGAGTTAGTACCTGCTTACCAAAAAGGTATTGAAAGGGAACATCTTAAACAATACGGCTTCTTAGATTTTGTTTCATAATTTGATAAGCTTTACCAAACAGCATGGCTTGCTTTGCTCTAGTGATAAGTTTCAAGTTAAAGAATGTTCTGAACACCCATCTTCATATGTAATAAGAACAAGTGCAGGCGTTTATTCAACACTTACCACGTGCCAGTCACTGTACTGTTTTATATATATCATCACATGCAATTTTTAACATTACTATAAGAAAGGTATAGTTATTCCAACTTTAGTAAATGAGGAAATTGAAGCAGAGAGAGAATAAGTGATTTGTCCCCATTTCACAGGTAGACTTCAAACTCAGGCAATCTGAGTCTAGAGCCTGAACTCTTAACTTCCTTCCTTCCTCCCTCCCTCCCTCCCTCCCTTCCTTCTTCCCTCCCTCCCTTACTCTTTCTCTCTCTCTTCCTTTCCCTTCCTTCCTCCCTCCTCTCTCCCTCCCTTCCTTTTCTCTCTCTTTTTTTTTTTTTGAGACAGAGTCTCTCTGTCACCCAGGCTGGAGTGCAGTGGCGTGATCTCAGCTCACTGTAACCTCTGCCTCCTGGGTTCAAGAGACTCTCATGCCTCAGCTGCCCAATTAGCTAGGACTACAGGCATGCACCGCCACGCCCGGCTAGTTTTTGTATTTTTAGTAGAGTTAGAGTTTTGCCATATTAGCCAGGCTGGTCTTGAACTCCTGGCCTCAAGTGATTTGCCCACTTTGGCCTCCCAAAGTGCTAGGATTACAGGCATGAATCACCACACTTGGCCCATGCTTCTTATTACTAATAAAGAATAATTGAAACAAGTGAAAGAGTAGAAACCTAATGCCATACTAGTTCCTGGAAAGATTTTTTGATAAGGGTTGTTAGAGTATGCTCATCTTTTAAAAATTCCCTGAGTGACTGAATGGTTGGAGAGAGGTAGAGGGTTGGAAGAGCAGGAAATTAAGAGGATAACTTGTGTTTTCAGTTCCTTATGTACTGCTGCATTGAAAAGTGTTTTTATAGGCTGGCCATGGTGGCTCACGCCTGTAATCCCAGCACTTTGTGAGGCTGAGGTGGGCAGATCACTTGAGGTCAGGAGTTCGAGACCAGCCTGGCCAACATGGTGAAACCCTGTCTCTACTAAAAATACAAAAACTAGGTGGGTGTGGTGGCACATGCCTGTAGTCCCTGCTACTTGGGAGGCTAAGGCAGGAGAATCACTTGGACCTAGGAAGCAGAGGTTCCAGAAAGTGCCACTGCACTCTAGGCCTGGGCAACAGAGCAAGACTCCGTTTCAAAAAAAAAAAAGTGTTAATATGAATTAAACAGATATTTCTGTGATTTCTTGCTAACTATATGTACTTCATATAATTTCAGAAATTACTGAATTCAGCATTGAGAAAAAGAAATTTACTTTGACAATTTATATAACAAAGTCATACAAATTTTACTTGTTGAGGTATCATACCTATCATTTCCTTTAGAACATTTATCGCTCTTTTGCACAGCACCATCTCTCCCCACTTCTGCTGTGTAGCTAAGCATGGTGCCCAACACTAACAGCCAGTACACTTGATACAGCTTTCACTGCCTTTTTCCAGTGCTGCCTGGTCTGAGAGGCAATGGGAAAGTTCAGCATGGTACACACATACCGCAGTGATTATATGCTAGCAGGGTAAGAGAATAACTGCTAACATTTATCTCTGTTATTTGGTAAGTGGGTACTATTAATAATATTCCCATTTTGCAAACTGGGAAGCAGAACAGAGAAGTTCAGAAACTCTCCCATGGACCACAGGTAAGTAAGTGGCAGATCCAGAATTCTACTCATGCATCTGACTCCAGAATCCATGCTCTTACATACTCCACTATGCTAGCTTTCAAAACGTTACTGTCTGCTAATAAGACACTGAGGTTGAAGCCGATGATGGCAATATTCTGTCCTTGCATTTTGGTCCAAATATTCATGTGTAGAGGAACTGCAGAATAGGACAATTCTTGAGTCTTTTCTACCTCACCTAAGTGCACTCAACAAATATTTGCCTTTGCCTACCATGTATCATTTTCATCCCTCTCTCTTGAGTGTTTTCACTCTTTCTCCAGAGGTGGCCTCTCTGTTTATGTACATGCGTAGGTCTCCTCAGCAAAGATCAAGGTGTCTAGTGTGGGAGAGATTCGATGACTAGTGTACGGGATTCCTGTCCTCTCTGATAAAACACACTCACAAAGACTCTAAGGTTTGCAGCTGGGAGAACGTGCTCCAGGGTGTGAAGAAGGACTGAACAAACTACTCCCATTGCTTTCTGCATCTTATTTCAATGGGGATCTTTCAATTCTATCACTGCTGCTGCACCCACATCCAGACTCTATGATTGATCCAAACACTGTCCCTTGTGCTGATCACCTGGGCTAGGATGAAATTTTTAAAAACTAAACCATGAGAGCAGGACATAAATAAAAATAGAAGCGGAATAAAAACCACCAATTCTACAACGTTTTGTCTAGGGGAAAGTTTGGGAGCACTTGCAAAGAGTCCGATTTGATGGGTCGGTGGTGGTGCTCCAGCTGATTGTAAAGTTGCAGCTGAGAACAAGTTTCCTGATCTACTGAGTCACACATTTGTGACTTGAGTCCTTTGTGCTCCTTGCTTTAATTTTATTATTGAAGAAACCCCAATAATAAGAATTAATACAGTTCTGATTCTAGATCACATTTTACCTCTTGTCTTCAAAACTGTTGAATCATAAGTCTTGGTTGGCACCGTGGGAGGAAAGGGCTGCTGGGCGCGGGTTTTAATGCCTGTGTAGAGGTCGTCAGGTGACGTGAAGGTGGGGAACATGGCGCCGCGACAGGTGTGTGTGTGGTAGGGGTGTTCAATTGGATATGGCAAGCAGATCTCTCTACGATTTATTGAGGAAAAAAAACAAAATGAAAAGAACAGAAAGAAGTATGATTGAAAAAATTAATCACCAAATATTTATTGGGACCCCTTTTTTAACGGCAGAAACTGTTCTAATGCTGGGGGACAGGACAGTGAGTCGATGTCCCTGTGCTCATGGAGTTGGCATTCTCTTGGAATGTATACCATAAAACAGGACATTTTCTTAATTTTGCTAGATAAAACTAAATTTAATTTTAAAATAAATCATGCTTAATTCTTTATCAGTGAATAAGTTTCATAACTGGTATAAAAAATATAAAGCAGAAAATAAACGAGTTTTGTGTTTTTTTGTTTTGTGTGTTTTTTCTTTTTTTTTTTTTTTTGAGACGGAGTCTCACTCTGTCGCCCAGGCTGGAGTGCAGTGGCGCGATCTCAGCTCACTGCAAGCTCCGCCTCCCGGGTTCACGCCATTCTCCTGCCTCAGCCTCCTGAGTAGCTGGGACTACAGGCGCCGCCACCTCGCCCGGCTAGTTTTTTGTATTTTTCAGTAGAGACGGGGTTTCACCGTGTTAGCCAGGATGGTCTCGATCTCCTGACCTCGTGATCCGCCCGTCTCGGCCTCCCAAAGTGCTGAGATTACAGGCTTGAGCCACCGCGCCTGGCCCGTGTTTTTAGAATGGTATATAGGAAGAATTTCTAGTTGCTTTTAATTACTGTGTCTTATTTTAAGAGGCTCCCATGAATTGTTTTGGGCATTCTGCTTCAGCAAAGTGATCTCTAACCATCTTGGAATGAACTTTCAACCCAGGGCATCTGTTTCTTTAAGCAATCAATCAAGAAAATATACTTCCTGTTTATGTACACAGTACTGCTTCAAAATCAAAAAGCCAAAACAGCTAGCACACTGAAGGAAAAAGTAAACATGTTAAAGAGAGCATAGGGGTATAATTTTCCTATCATTTGGAGAATTGGCAGGGGTAAAAACAAAAAAACAAAAAAACAAACAAACCATGTGGGAGCTGTCTAAACCAGAAGAAAAGCAAAATTAGGAAGTCCATGGGGTAGAGAAATGTTATTCATAACAAGAAAATTAAGTAGAAAAAAGCAAGACCAAGTGTTATGTGTTGAATTCCTCCCCTCCACCCCCATCCATAATCTCCAGGGCCACATACTGTAACCTTGTATGGAAATAGGGTCATTATAGATATACTTAGTTAAGACCAAGTTACTCCATACTGGAGCAGGGTGGGCCCCTAACCCAATACGCCTGGTATCCTTTTAAGAAACGGAAAGTTGGACACAGACAAACACCCGAGAAGAATGCCATGTGAAGATGAGGCAGAGATTGGGATGATGCATCTACAAGCCAAGGAGCACCAAAGATCACCAGCAAAGCCCAAAAGCCAGGGGAGAGGCATGGGACAGAGTCTCTATCACAGTCCTCAGAAGGAACCAACCCGGCTGACGCCTTGATCTCAGACTTCCGGCCCCCCACCTTGGAACTTGCCAGGCTGCAAGCAGAAAGGTGAATCCAAGAAATGTGACCTAACAAAAAGGACTTTACTTTTCAAACTGTTTATGAAGAGAATTTGAAAAGCCCAAGACAAGGGTTCTTCACTTCGTCGTTTTTTTAAAAATAGAAAAACCAAAAAAACCTAGACATTAATTTTAATAGCCTTTTGAATAGGTCTTTAGCTGAAACACAACTTTTTAAATGGCAGCTTAATAATTTCTGTTAAGCTTGATAGAGGACTCCAGTAGCACGGAGGACACTGGGTGCTCAGATCTCGGCTTCTAACACCTATCTTCAGTCAAAGGAGCTAGGGTTTCTGGGAGTTATTATTATTATTATTTTTGAGACGGAGTCTTGCTCTGTTACCCAGGCTGGAGTGTAATGGCGCGATCTCGGCTCACTGCAACCTCTGCTTCCCGGGTTCAAGCGATTCTCCTGCCTCAGCCTCCCGAGTAGCTGGGATTACAGGCACTTGCCATGCCAGACTAATTTTTTGTATCTTTAGTGGAGACAGGGTTTCACCATGTTGGCCAGGCTGGTCTTGAACTCCTGAGCTTGTGATCTGCCCGCCTCGGCCTCCCAAAGTGCTAGGATTACAGGTGTGAGCCACTGTGCCTGGCCACTCTGGGAGCTATTATATAAGATGAGCCTGGATTATCTTAGAGTGACAGAAAGAAAGGAAATGCTAAAAGGAAAAAAAAAAAAAAGTCAAAACCCCACAATGATGGGGAAATGTCAAAGGAATATAGGAGCGAACTCAAAGAGCTCCTCATTGCCAATCTTAGTAACAAAAGAAAGTGGTATTGGATTGCTACCTAAGTACTAAAGTACAAAATAAATGTCCATGAGTCTATACTGAGAGAAATAAGTGATTGAATAAATAAATAAATGGAGTAGAATGCCAAATAATTTATGCAGGTACTCTGCTTTCAAGAAGGTGGAGTATAAATCCAGATGCCTTAAGTGTGGGCTGCACGCAGACACACAGAGAGCTTCTTCTAGAGTGCAGTGGGGAAAGGAGGGAAGAAGGAGTGTGTGTGCAGCGGGGAAACCTGCTGAGGACACCTGTGCGGGGCGGTCAGGGTTAGCATTACCAGGGATAGATCATGCTGATGGCATGTACCCTTGCTACGATGTCATGAAAACAGCACTTTAGCTCCGTGGTCTTCCTTCCGCAAATACATCATCCAACTCTAACCATAAGAAAAGTATCAGTCAAAGCCCAATTTGGGGGCATTCTACAAAATATCTAACTAATAATCCTAATCACTGTCAAGGTCATTAAAACAAGGGAAGTCTGAGAAACTGTCACAGCCAAGAGGAACCTAAGGAGAGATGATGACTAAATGTAATGTGGTACTCTGGATGGGATCCTGGGACAGAAGAAGGACATGAGGGAAAAACTGAGGAAATCTGGATAAAGCATGGATAAAGCATGGGTCATTGTAATGTATCAGCAATGGTTCATTAATTGTGACAAATGTGCCATATTAATGTGAGACGTTAACAATAGGGGAAACTGCGTGTGATGTATATGGGAACTCTCCACACTATCTTCACAATAATTCTATAAATCTAATATTATATGAAAATAAAACATGTACTAAAAAAGATTTGCAGGGGATATAATAGGAGAGAAATAAAAGTAATGTTACCCTGGACTTGCACCAGCCTTTCCTTCCAACTATTAAAACATAGTTTTCAGGCCAGGCACTGTGGCTCACACCTGTAATCCAGTACTTTGGGAGGCCGAGGTGGGCGGATCACTTGAGCCCAGGGGTTCAAGACCAGTCTGGGCGACATGGCAAGAATCCATCTCTACAAAAATTAGTCAGGCATAGTGGTGCACACCTGTAGTCCCAGCTATTTGGGAGGTGGAAGGATCGCCTGATCCCGGCTAGGTCAAGGCTGCAGTGAGCTGTGATGGCACCACTGTACTCCAGCCTGGGCGACAAAGTAAGACTCCGTCTCAAAAACAAAAACAAAAACAAAACAAAACAAAAAAACAAACAAAAGAAAAGTTTTCATGGAAAGTCTCACTTGTTTTCACACTTCTGAGACATAAGAAATGTCCATTTTTTTTCTTTGATTATAACAGAGAAGGAAAATATAAGTTATTTACTTACCCTACTGTTGAATTCGGCGGTTTGGGTATCCTAGAATAAAAACAGGAAATAAGTTCTAACTTATATTAAGGGCTTTTAAAGGTTTATATTCCTATTAGAAACTTGATTAATGATATAGGCTGGGCATGGTGGCTCACGCCTGTAATCCCAGCCCTTTGGGAGGCCAAGGTAGGCGATTGCTTGAGCTCAGGAGTTCGAGACCAGCCTGGGCAAAATACAAAATAGAAAAATACTAAAAATACCAAAAATACAAAATGAAAATTAGCTAGGCATGGTGGTGCATGCCTGTAATCCCAGCTACTCAGGATTACCCAGGAGGTGGAAGTTGCTGGGTGACAGAGCAAAAGTCTGCCTTAAAAAAAAAAAAAGAATAATAATGATGAACCCCATTTTCAAACCGTAATGCCATTAAGATAATGTTCTTGATTAACTTTCTGGATCCCTGAATATTGATAAGACAGAGATGTTGTTTCCTTATCTCAGCTGTCTGTTGATTAATTTTTCCATCCATTTATTCTAACCTCAGTCCTGCTCACCACTGTTTCTGCATTTTCCATTTGCAGTGAAGATACATGGGATGACTACTTTTTTTTTTTTTTTTTTTTTTTTGAGATGGAGTCTCGCTCTGTCGCCCAGGCTGGAGTGCCGTGGCGTGATCTCGGCCCACTGCAAGCTCTGCCTCCCGGGCTCATGCCATTCTCCTGCCTCGGCCTCCCGAGTAGCTGGGACTACAGGCGCCTGCCACCATGCCCGGCTAATTTTTTGTATTTTTAGTAGAGATGGGGTTTCACCGTGTTCGCCAGGATGGTCTCGATCTCCTGACCTCATGATCCGCCTACCTCGGCCTCCCGAAGTGCTGGGCCACCGTGCCCGGCCGGGATGACTACTTCTAATGATAAGACAACTTTGGTTCTTTCTGACCTTTACTCTCATAATCAGGCAGTAGCCAAAGTGCTCTGAGGAAGCCTGACATTATACATGTGGTGCAATTTCACGGCCTAAAGTGACCCGAGTGTGGCCCGGCTGGAGAGGATATTTAAGTACCATGTGTGCTTTCTACCTTTACTCAGGGTTGCTGATATCTCATGATAGTAAATGTTGCCCGGTCAGCAGAGAGAGGATAGAATCCTGGAAGCATGCCTTTTCTGAAGCAGTTCATTCCAAGGCTGTGCATTTACTAATTACTCCGAACCTTGCATGCCAAGAAATAATCCTGCAGACCTGGAAAAAGGTCGACTAAAGACGGGTAATCATCCATCTACACTGGATTTCAACAATTCGTTTCAGCCTATGCAGATAAAATTGTGAAAGACTTCAGGTGTGAAAAATGAACAGAATGTTATCAATTTGATAGTAAAAGTCAGTAAAATTGAATACACTCTAATTTTTTAGATGTTCCTCCATGCTAGCAGATATTCCCTAGAAAGTGGCATGTAAGCCATATAAATTTATTATCCTGTAATGTATTATAAACACGAGATTCCCATGAACTATAAAAGTTTATATCTTTTTAAGTTTCAACTCTAAATCTGTGGGCATGAAACTAGAAAAGCATGCTCTGTCTTCCATCGACATCACTGAGTTGGAGAGATGGTGGGGGCACAAAGGGCAGGGAAGTGATGAATATATGAATCCAAGGAATCTAGAGTTGTTATTAATAGATTGGCAACTATATATAATATAATATATATAATATATAATTAAGCTAGCATCTAAAATTATTCTCATGTGACAAATTCCACTACAATATTGATAAGCATATGCCTAAAATTGATTTGATTTGAAATGAAAAAAAACCAATTTAAATTTAAAATATAAAATCTTTTTTAAAACTTCAAGATTTGAAAAGATAAAATGAAAGTAACAAGTGCTGAGACACCTCTTCCTTGACCTAAATCAGTCCATTAAGTTTACTGCCATCCTTCACATCTGCTTTGCAAAATTCACTTATCCCAAAGGGATAAATCAGGACAACCACAAATTTTGTCTTTTTGGCGCCATCTAGTGGCTAACTTCTATATTAAATTTTTACCTATCAACAACTAGTACTTCTTAAAAAATAAGTGATAGTTTCATTATTACTTCAATGCTGTCGTGTTTAATATTTGTTTGTTTGTTTGTTTGAGACGGAGTTTTGCTCGTATCGCCCAGACTGGAGTGCAATGGCGCGATCTTGGCTCACTGCAACCTTCGCCTCCTGGGTTCAAGTGATTCTCCTGCCTCAGCCTCCTGAGTAGTTGGGATTACAGGCGCCTGCCATCATGCCCGGCTAATTTTTGTATTTTTAGTAGAGACAGGGTTTCGCCATGTTGGCCAGGCTGGTCTTGAACTCCTGACCTCAGGTGATCCACCCGCCTCAGCCTCCCAAAGTGTTGGGGTTACAGGCGTGAGCCACTGCGCCCAGCTGTGTTTTATTTTTATCTAAAAATAAAAACGTATGCTTTTGTAATGTACATGACAAACTATTTAAAAGCATAATACACTTGAAAAGAATACCTTTAAGTGATGGGTAAATTAACAAGTATGGCTTACGTTAAAAAAGATACTTAGGAAGTGTTATTAGGAGTTATTTGCAGATGATTAAAAAAACCTCTATCCTCGTAAAATTCTGGTTGCAAATTTGTTGAGGGCCACTAAGGCGTTTTCTATTGATATTTCAATAAATGTAACAGATTCTTACTAGGTTATATAAGTAGGTCAAAGGCAAGGAAATGGACCAAGATAACCTTTAGGAATCCCTTTGAACATTACTATTCATCAGCTCCTGTTTTTTTCTTGATTTTTTTAAACACTAAAACTATTGGTTTGTTATTTATTTGCTTTTGTTTGTTTGGTCTTGGTTTCTGGCATTAATTGTCTCTATTTTAAAAAAGGAATAATTTTTTTCTCTAAAAGTCCCCATTTGGGGCTTTAAAAATGTCTCATATAACTCATTTCCACTTAAAAATGTTATTTGATTTTATATAAGGAAAAAAACCCAAACTTACAAAGAATCATTTCCATAGAGATCACTTTTTTTGTTCTGGGTCAAATAATAAAATTGTTCAATAGGAAGCTTTCTGAAAAGAAAGAAAAGATTAAATTAAACATGTTTTAAAATTAACACAATATAATGGTGAGATAGTAAAAGACAAATAGATTAATAATACATCCATGTATATGTAGAAATTCAATATATGAAAAGGTGTCATTTTATTTCATTTATTATTATTTTATAATAAATGGAGATGAGGTCTTGCTATGTTGCTCAGGCTTATCTTGAACTCCTGGGCTCAAGAGATCTTCCTGCCTTGGTCTCTCAAAATGCTGAGATTATAGGCATGAGCTACTGTGCCTGACCAAAGGTGTCATTTTAAACCAGGGGAAAAAAGATGCAGTTTTCTTTTTTAAAATTTTAAAACTTTTTATGTATTTTATTGATTGATTTTTTTTTTTTTTTTAAAGAAACACAGTCTTGCTATGTTGCCCAGGCTAGTCTCAAACTCCTGGCCTCAAATGATTCTCCTGCCTCAGCCTCCCAAAGTGCTGGGATTACAGGCATGAGCCACCACACCCAGCCAGGATATATTTTTTAATATAGAAAAAAATTCAGTATTCATTTGAAAAATAATCCATTTCTATTTACACTATTCAGAAAGATAATTTCAGATGGATTTAAAAATCTAAAGAATTAGAGAAAAACCTATACAAAAATAAAATGTATAGGAATATGCTTTTTCTTTGGTGGTAGGAAGGACCTTTAAAACAATAACTTTATTTTAAAAGTCAAAAACCTGAAAGAAAATTTGATCATCAGATTTAATCATAAGGCTGGGAGCTCACACCTGTAATCTTAGCACTGTGGGAGGCCGAGGTGGGCAGATGACTTGAGGCCAGGAGTTTGAGACCAGCCTGGCCAACAAAGTGAAACCCCATCTCTACTAAAAATAGAAAAAAATTTGTTGGGCATGTTGGTGCATGCCTGTACTCCCAGCTACTCAGGAGGCTGAGGCATGAGAATTGCTTAAACCTGGGAGGCAGAGGTTGCACTGAACTGAGACCATGCCACTGCACTCAGCCTGGGCAACAGAGTGAAACTCTGTCTCAAACAAAAAAGAATAAATAAAAATTTAAAAAAATAAAAAATAAAAAACTAAAAAACCCAAATTTAATTTTCAGACAAAACCCATAAAAGTTTAAATAAAATAAAAATTAGAAGAATTACTTGCAAATATTAACAAAGATAACATGTAAAGGATTGTTTCCAGAACATAAAGAACCAACAAGAATCTATAAGTAAAATACAAACAATAAAAATGGGCGAAGAATAAACATAGAAAAGGAAATGTGAATGGCCATACCTAAAAGATAAGGCCAACTAGTAAGCAGAGAAATACATTCTCATAACCATGATACCCTTTATACTCATTAGATGGGTAAAAGCTATACATTTTGAAAATATAGATGGCTGAGAGTGTGAGGAAATGAATACTTTTAGACACTACCATGACAATATAAATCATTTGGGTTACATGCACTAAAATTTAAAAAAATCCCTATACTGTGACCCACTTAGGATCTGGCATTTATTTATTTATTTAACTTTTTTTTGAGATGGAGTCTTGCTCTATCACCCAGGCTGGAGTGCAATGGCGTGATCTCGGCTCACTGCAACTCCCATCTCCTGGGTTCAAGTGATTCTCCTGCCTCAGCCTCCCGAGCAGCTGGGATTACAGGCACCCACCATCATACCTGGCTAATTTTCGTAGAGATGGTTTCGCTATGTTGGCCAGGCTGGTCTCGAACTCCTGACCTCAGGTGATCCACCCACCTCAGCCTCCAAAGTGCTGGGATTACAGGCGTGAGCTACTGCGCCCAGCTGGATTTGCCTTTTAGAAACCTTTGAGCATGAGCTCAAGAAGCCTTGTGCAAGGATGCTTTTTAAATATGGTTAATGTAAAAAGAAACAGAGAGAAGAGAAACAATACATGATGGCTAAACTATGATGCATCCATATTGTAGAATACTGTGAGAAATTAAAAAGAATGATGTAGATCTATGTTTATCTGCATTTACAGACGTGACCATTTCTAGATTGTACAGAGAAAAAAAACCCAAATTGCCTAATACTATGTATCAAGTGATTCCACATATATATGAAATAACACTGTACATTTTCAATGGGTACATGTATAATAGCGTTAAGTGCATAACAAAAGGCATAGAAGGAGACACCAAAATGGTAACAGTGGTTCTCCTCTAGGAAGGGGAGTGAGACTGCGGGGTAGTGGTCAAAAGACAATGGACCTCATCTGTAACCTTTTCATGTTTTCATGTATACTATGCTCACCTGCAACTTGTGGCTGCCCAATTATCTTTTGAACATGCAGCTTACTTTTTTTTTTTTTTTTTTTTTGATGGAGTCTCACTCTGTTGCCCAGGCTTGAGTGCAGTGGTGCAATCTCGGCTCACTGCAACCTCTGCCTCCCAGATTCAAGCAATCCTCTCAAACTCCTGGATTCAAGCAATCCTCCCGCTTCAGCCTCCTGAGTAGCTGGGATTACAAGCACCTGCCACCATGCTTGTCTAATTTTTTTGCATTTTTGGTAGAGATGGGGTTTCACCATGTTGGCCAGGTTGGTCTCAAACTCCTGACCTCAGGTGATCCACCCGTCTCAGCCTCCCAAAGTGTTGAGATTACAGGTGTCAGCCACTGCGCCTGGCCCCAGCCTCCATTTTTGTAGTGCGTGTATTGTGAATGTCATCTACCCAATGCAGATTCCAAGAAACTTGATTTTTCCAGCCTCCGAATGGCCCTGGAGTGTGAGGGTTATTTGTATCCCACAAGAATGTTCACCTAGAGAACCCCACCACTGAGGATGTTCTCAATAATTAGGCAGATGCAACGACCAGCTTTGTGCGTGTCAGGTTTTCTCGTCACTCCGGTGCTTGCTCAGTGGCTTCGTAACGAAGTGATCATGGCGGCACACAGAAATTATCACATATGGACTCAGCGACATGAATTTCCCTCACTAAGACTCACCTGGCTGTTGGCGCATTTGAGTTTGCCAGCAGAAGTGACCAATCCTAAGTGCTTGATAGGGTGACCTATCCCTGGATGTACTAGTCAGCCATCTGGTGGTAGGATAATTACACTGAACCCCTTCCATCATCAAAGAGATAACTTATACTCATAAGATTAGACACTTCTTCAAAATAGGGATTTCCCTTCCCTTCTCACCATGCCTCTGCAAGTAACATCATCAGTAAACTTACTAAATGTCTCATTTGTTGCCACGCCGTCTTAAACAATATTATTTTTGATTAAGGAACTCAATTTACCACAAAAGACATTGGGCAACAGTTGGTTGCATTCAAATGATTCGCCATATATACAGAATGTCATATTTTGCCATACTTACAGAACGTTAGAATGGCTTACTGAATATTCAATTACGGCTGAGTATTGTCCTAAAGAGTGTAGGACAGGCTCTGAACCAGTGACCAATAAATAGATTCCCCCTTGGCCAGAATGCATGGTCTGAAAACCAAAGGGTGGAAGTGGGAGTGGTGCCTCTTACTGTTATGGTTACACTTGAGAAAATTTGACTCCCTCCCAAGCCACCTTGAGCTTTGGTGGTTTAGAGGTCAAGGGAGAAACGCTTCCATCCGGGGATACAACAGTGGTCCCAATTGCATTGGAAGCTGAATTGATGATGATGTGGTAATTTTGGGCAGGATGACTGATCCTGAATATCAAGGGCCAGAGGATATTATACAATGATGGGGGAAAGGAGTATTTCTGGAACCTAGGGAACCTTTTGAACACCTAGTATTGTCTTCAGTAGCATGGAGTTAATGAAACACTATAGCAGCCTTACAGAGGCAGAACCACTAAGAGCTAAGATCTCTCAGAACATACTTTTGGGTTGTTCTATCAAGTAACATACTCCTACCAGCTCAGGTATTGGCTGAGGGCAAGGGAACTTGGAATAGGTAGTGAAGGAAGGAAATTATTATTATTTATAAAAGCATTTTTAATTTCAATAGTTTTTGGGGAATGGGTGGTGTTTGGTTACATGAATAAATTCTTTACTGGTAATTTCTGAGATTTTGGTGTAATCATCACCGAAGTAGTGTACACTGTACCCAATGTGTAGTCTTTCATCCCTCACCCCTTTCCCAACCTTCCTCCCGAGTCCCCAGAGTCCACTGTATCATTCTTATGCTTTTGTATCCTCATAGCTTAGCTCCAACTTATAGGTGAGAACATACAATGTCTGATTTTCCAATCCTGAGTCACTTCACTTAGAATAATGGTCTCCAACTCCCTCCAGGTTGCTGTGAATACCGTTATTTCATTTCTTTTTATGGCTGAGTAGTATTCCATGGTATATCCATGCCACATTTTCTCCATCCACTTGGTTAATGGGCACTTGGGCTGGTTCCATATTTTTGCAATTGCGAATTGTGCTGCTATAAACATGTATGTGCAAGTGTCTTTTTCATATAATGACTTCTTTTCTGGAGGAAGGAAATTATAACACCAATGATAGCCTCATGACCAGGTGCAGGAATGAGGACTATAGTCGCTTCTCCTATTTGCTGCCTTGCTGTGTATTCTGCCTTATATATCTTCTTTTTTCCTCTTCATTTTCCTTATTATTTCATATAGGATGCATTGGTGATGGTTAGCTTTATTAGAGGGCATGGGTTTAGAATATTGGGACAAGATTACAACTCAACTAGACAGGAGTGAGCACTTGGAGTTGGATATAGCAAAGTTGGAAACCGCTTTCCTTTGGTCTCTGCTTTTGGGGAGGTGAGTGTATTTTCATTTGTATGAAAATTATTGCTTTTTTTTTTTTTTAAGACAGAGTCTCACTCTGTTGCCCAGGCTGCAGTGCAGTGGCACAATCTTGGCTCACTACAACCTCCGCCTCCTGGGTTCAAGTGATTCTCCTGTCTCAGCCTCCTGACCTCGTGATCCACCCACCTTGGCCTCCCAAGGTGCTGGGATTACAAGAGTGAGCCACCACGCCCAGCTGCATTTTCTTACATTGAAGCAACAGTTCTCCAACTTTGCTGCATGTTGGAATTATCTGAGGTATCTTGTTAAAATGAAGATTCTGTTTCAGTAAATCTGGGTGGAGGCTGAGATGTAGCATTCACCATTTCCTAGATGATGCTGATGCTGCTGGCCCAGGTACCGTGTATTGAATAGAAAAGCATGTTATTGTTGCAGCTGTTGTTTAGAGTGATAGTCCACTGGCACTCAAGACTATCATCCTTATAATACCCTCTCTACATTTTGCCAGTTTCCCACATTTGGAACACCCCATTTCCCAGCCTTCCTAGCAGCCAGGGTGCAAATGTGCCCTAAGTTCTGCCAATCATCCCCATCTATACTAGACTTTGATTTGACTGTGAGTAGCCTGAGAACATGAGCTTCATGAGGGGCATCCAAACTGCCAATAAGGTGGCAGCAAAGGTGTCCAGTTAAAGAGACACTTCCTCCCTGATGAGGCCAGTCCTGGGAATGAGTTGGCCACTATACCTGGATGCCGAACAATGAGCCTATTTCTCTAGGCATCCCACAGTTTTGTGAGCTAATCTAATATCCTCCCATAATCTTGTTCTTTTCTTTTTTTTTTTTTCCTGAGACAGAGTTTCACTCTTGTTGCCCAGACTGGAGAGCAATGGTTAGTTTAAGAAGAACAGGATTGGCCAGGCGCGGTGGCTCACGTCTGTAATCTCAGCACTTTGGGAGGCCGAGGCAGGTGGATCACTTGAGGTCAGGAGTTCGAGACCAGTCTGATCAACATGGAGAAAACCTGTCTCTACTAAAAATACAAAATTAGCCGGGTATGGTGGCGCACACCTGTAATCCCAGCTAGGCTGGGAGGCTGAGGCAGGAGAATTACTTGAACCCAGAAGGGGGAGGTTGCAGTGAGCTGAGATCACGCCACTGCACTCCAGCCTGGGCAACAAGAGTGAAACTCCATCTCAAAAAAAAAAAAAAAAAAAAAATTAAGAGATATGCCAGGTATAACTGGCGTTCTGAGTGGAACAAGTATTCTCTCTCTCCCTGCACATTCAGTAAGAGATCATGCACCAATCTCATTTCGAAGTAGATTGCCCTTAAGAAACAACGCTTTGGCTTTCTTTTTACACACTGGAATTCTGTATGAATACTTCTAATTCTTACAAAGCATTGTGCATTTTTTAATATTTAGATTTTGGGAGGGCAGTAGCTGTAAATTCCATACACAGCTATCTCCCCAGTCTCCAGAACAATGCTTCCTATACTTAAATTACAGAGCAGAAAAATGAATAAACAGATTGCATAAATAAAATGAACAGATGAAAAGAAGTTGGGGTGTTGGAGTCAATAAATCTGGACTCAAATCCCTATTTAACAACTTTATAATTGTCTGACCCAAGGAAAGGTGCTGAATCTCTCGGGTCTGTTCATTCACTGTAAAACAAGGATGGCAGCATCTGCTTCACAAAGAGATTGCAGTTCCATGACAGCATGGGCTTCAACACGTCTGTTGAGTGAATGAACAAACGTGAGGTCCTCACTATCTATGTGTGTTGATGTCTGAATCTTTCTAATTGGCCTGTGACTTTTTATTTGTCTGCTTTTTATTGCTTTTCTAAGGCTTTGACAAGGTCACCGGCGGCACATGTCCCTGTTGTTAATGCTTCTCTCTCTTGCTGTGGTTTGTCTTCCTTAATTTATTTCTTTTACCTGCTTTAGAACAAAGAATTAGTTAACTAAAGTGTTCATGAGCCAGATAATCAGGATTGTTAGATAAAGCAGGGGGAAGTAGGCTCTGTGCCAAGTGTATGATAGACTCTGCTCTGAGTAAATGTCTTAATCCTTAGGAAATATTTAATATGACATTTGCTATTCAGATTTTTCTTTTTTTGCTTTCTCTTGAATTTTAATATGTTTTGAACAGAGTTGCTGAGTGACTTTAAGATTTATAGACTATCATTGAAAGGTTTTAACACTCGAAAACAACGCCCAGCAGATTCTAGTGATTATCAAAAAGACTGACAAATTACAAATCAAAAGTTCCAAAAACCAAAAGCATCTGCACAAATTAGGCCAGGTCTTTGCTCAAAAATATTTAACATTTAATTGTTTTTCTCTCTTTCTATCTCAGGAACATTCCCATTTAGTTTTAGATAAGATATGATAAGTAAGTAAAGGAATTAAATGAATCAAAATTTCTGATCACAATATTTTAACATCACTAAGGACAGCAAAAACTATTCATTTATTATTATTTCACAATTAGAAATTACTTTCATTCTGTGTCTTTTCATAAATAGTAAAAGAAATAACTTTGAAGACAGATTTAAGCAAACAAAGGACTCACAATAGAAATAAAGAAAAATGGATAATAAAGACCTTTCTGTGAATGGCAGAAAGTTTATTTACCTTGGCCAGGTTTCTCCACCAAATCCGTAATGCTGATGTCCTTTGCCTATGACACGAGGAGGCTCACACTTTGGCCTGTGGTCCTCGGGGAGTGAAATCGGTATTATCCCACCATACTCTCTTTCAGCGCCCCAAGGAAGTCTACATTGTTGAAGTGACTCCCTTAATTCCTGATACCTGTGAAAAAAGAGAGACTTTAAACAGCCTCAGCAACAAAACAGATGCACAAAACTGCATAACAGATTGCATAAAATTCCTACCACTTCATAAGAATTTTCAGATTAAATCTTCAGAACACAGAATTCTCAGTGTCAGGTAGATTATGATACTGGTTATTTAGGCATCATGGGACTGCTGAAAGAATGAGGTTAAATTTCGGAGGACTTACAGATTATCCTTTTTTTGGTCATCAGTTGTAGTGTGTTTATTTTGTATTTTTTAAATTTTATTTATTTATTTTTTTGAGACAGGGTCTCACTCTGTTGCCCAGGCTGGAGTGCAGTGGCATGATCTTGGCTCACTGCAGCCTCTGCCTCCTGGGTTCAAGCAATTCTCCCACCTCAGCCTCCCAAGTAGCTGGGATTACAGGGGCGTGCCACCATACCCAGGTAATTTTTGCATTTTTAGTAGAGACGGGGCATCTCATCACGTTGGCCAGGTTTGTCTTGAACTCCTGACCTCAGGTGATTCACCTGCCTCGGCCTCCCAAAGTGCTTGAGATTACAGGTGTGAGCCACTGCGTCTGCCCATGTGTTTATTTTTAAAAACAGCTTTATTGAGATTGAATTAACTTGCCACACAATTCATCCATTTAAAGTGTACAATTCAGGCCAGGTGCAGTGGCTCATACCGATAATCCCAGCACTTTGGGAGGCTGAGGCAGGAGGACTACTTGAGCTCAGGAGTTCAAGGCCACCCTGGGCAACATAGCAAGACCCTGTCACTATTGTATAAATTTATAATTAATTAAAAAATAAAGTGTATAATTCAATGGCCTTAAAGTTTATTCACAGATAAGTGCGAGCATCCCCACAGTCAACTTTACAACATTTTCATCATCTCAAGAATACCCTGTATTCCTAAGCCATTATCCCCTATACTCCCCACCCTCAGTCTGTCCCTCGGCAACTATCATACTAATCTACTTTCTGTAGATTTGCCTATTCTGGACATTTCCTGTAAATAGAATAATATAACACATGGCCTTTTATGATGGGCTTCGACTTGGGATAATGATATTTTCAAGGTTCATCCATTTTGTAGTATGTGTCCATACTTCATTCCATTTATTTATTTATTTGTTTTTTTTTTTTAAGATGGAGTTTCACTCTTGTTGCCCAGGCTGGAGTGCAATGGTGTGATCTTGGCTCACTGCAGCCTCCACCTCACGGGTTCAAGTGATTCTCCTGCCTCAGCCCCCCCAGTGCCTGGGATTACAGCTGCCCGCCACCACGCCTGGCTAATTTTTTGTATTTTTAGTAGAGACATGGTTTCACCATGTTGGCCAGATTGGTCTTGAACTCCTGACCTCAGGTGATCCCCCCCCCACCTCGGCCTCCCACAGTGTTAGGATTACAGGTATGAGCCACAGCACCCAGCCCTTCATTCCTTTTAATGGCTATGTAATATTCTACCATATAGATATATCACGTTTTGTTTCACCATTTATCAGTTGATGGACATTTGGGTTATTTTCACCTTTTACTCTTGTGAATAATACTGCTACGAATATTCATGTCCAAATTTTGGTTTGAATATCTGTTTTTAATTCTTTGGGGAATTAAATTAGAAGTGGATCATATGGTAATTCTGTTTAATTTGTTGAGGAACTGCCAAACTGTTTTCTACAGTAGCTGCTCCATTTTACATTCCTACCAACATTGTATGAGGATTCCAATATCTCCACATCTTTGCCAACACTTGTTATTTTCTGTTAAAATTTAAAAGAATTATTGCCATTCTAGTGGATGTGAAGTGGTGTCTAATTGTAGTTTTGATTTGCATTTCCCCAATGACTAATGATATTGAGCATTTTTTTCCATGTTCCTATTGGTAATATCTTTATTGGAGAAATATCTATTCAGATCCTTTGCATTTTTTGTTATTTGTCTTATTTTTGAGTTATAAGAGTTCTTTATATATCCTACTTACAAGTCCCTTGTCAGGTATAATAGGCAAATATTTTCTCCTATTCTGTGCATTTTCTTTTTACTTACTTGATAGTGTCCTTTGAAGAAAAAAAGGTTTTTAATTTTGATGAAGTTCACTTGATCTGTTTTTCCTTTTATTGCTTATGCTTTTGATGTCATATCTGAGAACACAGTTGCAAATCCAAGGCCATGAAGATTTACTGCTATGTTTTCTTCTAAGTATTTTACAGTTTAGCCCTTGCTTAGGTCTTTGATTCAGGATGAGTTAATTTTGGATATAATATGAGATAAGGGATCTCATGCATCTGTTCTTTTGCATGTGAATATCCAGTTGTCCTAGCTCTATTTGTTGAAAATCCTTCTTCCTCATTAAATGGTCTTGGCTACAGATTATTTTTGGATTTTCAAAAACAGAGAGTATTGTAAAGGAATATTTCTAATCTTCTAAAGGAGCTACTTGCTCATAAGTTTTATCTAGGGCTATTACAACAATGGTTCTCAAATAGTGGTCCCTAGACTAGTAGCATAAGCATCTCCTAAGAGCTTCTTAGAAATGCTAATTCTCAGGCTCCATCTCAGAACCTAAGAATCAGAATCTCTGGCGATGGGGTGCAGTAATGTTTTAAGAAGCCCTCCAGGTGATTCTTGTGCATGCTAAAGTTTTGGAAGCACTATTCTATTCAACAGTTACCTTGTATGGTAATCATATCTCCAAGTCCCACCCCTTACAACAGTATTATGCAGTGGACTGGAGATATGGGGGTTTCCTAAATTGGTTGGTAGGGCTTATCTAATCTTGAAACTGGTATCTCAGATGATTCTCTCTGCTTTTTCTTAACAAGGGAGTGAAGGGCAGGGATTCTATTGGCTCACTGTTGCAACCAGGCTTTACCCCAGTGCCTGGCACACAGGAAGTACCCAGTGAATACTACTGAATAAATGAGTAAGGCCAAAGAGGTGGATTTGTTTCCTGTACTGCTTTCTGTGAGAGAGGAACGAAATCTGGTTAGGAACACAGCCTCACAAAAACACCTGCAAATGTATCTGGCAAAAGTTCTGCTTCCTAATTAGGAAGGATTTAATGACTTTCAGTTTCCAGTAATGGCGGCCTAGGTTATTTGGACCAAACTTCCCACTGAAAACAACTAAAAATACTGGGAGGAGAAAAAAAAAATCTTAAAAACAACTAACTTTTTGACAAGACAGAAAGGGATGAGTACTAGAGGGTAAATAGGAACCCAGTGAAGTAAGCAAGCAGGGAAGCCACTTCTGCCCTTAGGGCAGGGTCAATCCTGGCAAATTTACATTTTTGTTTTAAGGTGAGGGATATGGAAATCAGCCAAGTGAGGAAACTAAAGGAGACCATCTACACAAGAAGCTGGGACCTTAAAATGCTTACCCTCTCCTGTTCAAGGTGAGTCGGAAGTTAACCAGTTCCCCTGTGGCCCCAGTTTGCATCTACCCTAAACTTAAGCTTGGATTTAAGTGGTCCTGGATTGGTATTATGGTATATACCTATAAGGCACTTTGCAGGACAAACAGGAATCCTTTCAGGAGGAAGGATTCTTGGGGGAATCACAAGATGTGTTCTAAAGGATGAGTAGGAGTTATCTAGAGGAAAGAGAGGAAATACTGGGGCATGCAAGGGAATAGCAGGTAGCAAGGCCTAGAGTTTAACAGACTGGAAAATTCTTGACAGTGTTGGCTTTAGTCTAGAATCTCTCTTAGGGAAGAATTACTTTTGTTTGGTAAAATATTCTGCTAAGCCACTTGGTGTAGACACAGACTCTGAAAGTATGGGTGTTGGTAGGAGCTCAGGCAAGCTCAGACTGATTAAACTGCTCTGCAGTGGGAGAAATGTGTTTGTTTGCTCTTGAAAGAGGGAGAGGAGAGGAAAGGGGAGTAAGGCAAGAGGGAGATGAGAGGAGCCAGCAGGATGGTGAGGCTACTGGGGACTGCACTGGTTGGAAACCCAGGGAGAAACCCTTGGTGACAGCTGGTTAAAGACCTTTTAAGAATGTGGAAGTTATGGCTATAAGGTGTTTTGGTTACATGTAGCATGGCATGGTGTGACTCTCCCTCCTGATCCCCAACAGTTCAGTGAAGTTTACCAGGCTCACAAATGCTCTGCATGGACAAGGTCTTTAGAGAAAAATGAGGGATGACTGAGTTTCACATCTGGGCCAGTGTGTTCTTTTAAGTGCCACCAGGAACCCAAAGTCAGAAGTGACCATGAGACTTTCAAATGCTATCCCTATCCTTATCCTGGGAACTTGGATAAATCTGGAGGTATTCTACAAGGCATGAGTAAAGATTTGAGTAGAACTTACCCAGATCTTAGGGGTTGAGAAAATACAGTTGAATTTTGAACTATATTAGAAGAGTTGATATAGAATTCCAGAACTTGGGGCATGTAGAGAAGGGCCATGGTGAGAGGTGGAGCATGAGAGGAAAACAAGGACAGTATCCTATCCTTCAAAATCCTCTGGACTATACCGTGAGAACAGTGACAGCCACTCAGAAACATGGAGGAGAGGAAGCGGGGTGGGGTGAAGGGTTGGGGAGGAGGGTGAGAGGAGGAAGGGGGAAGAAAGAGGGAGAAAAAGGGAGGGAGAGAGAGGGAGAGAGAGTGAGAAAGAGAAGGGGAGATAGGTAGATAGGGAGAGAGAAGGGGAGAGACAGGGAGAGAGAGAGAGGGAAGGAAAAAGTGGTACGAACTGTGGAGCAACTTTTTTCTCTTTACCAGTACAGTGCTTGGCTTAACATAACCCCCCTCTCCTCCACCTGGAATAATTGTTGAATAGAATGAAGAAGCAACACTCAGGACTGTCTTGTAAGTGGAATGTACTATCCTGTGAAGTCACTAGATTGAGGGTTGGCAAAGCATGGCCCATGGGCCAAATCCAACTCCCTGCCTGTTTTTGTAAATAAAAGTCTATTGGAATACAGCCATGACCATTCATTTATGAACTATCTACAGTCTATGGCTGCTTTTGCCTCACAATGGCAGAGTTGAAGAGTTGGACA